ACCATTCCGTACATCCGCACACTCTCTGATAGTTTCACTCTTTCTCACACACACACTCTCTCTCTCTCTCTCTCTTTCAATTCTTAAATATTTAACACCATAAAAAAACTTTTTTTTCTTTTACAACTACTTGACGAGTGTGTGGCGCGAAAGAATTGACGCAACATTGAATTGAAACATTGTGCAGGTTACGAGAGAGAAACTCAATTTGACAAAATGACAAAATAACAACTCGATGTGTTCTTACTCGGCATGCAAAAATGGCAAGAAACACGTGTGTGTCCGTCCGACGCGTGTGTCGGACGTGGGTTTTTTTGTTTTTTTTGTTGTTGTTTTTTCTTTTAACATTACGTGCGAGAGCGTGCATGATATAATAATATTCCTATATATATATATATATATTGCAGAAAAAATCAAAGACATAACAAAAGATCAGAGATAAGGCTATAAATGCATTCAGTCCAAGAAAATTGGTGTGTGTGCAGGTAATCAATTATGGAAATATATAATAAAATACATATGTCTATAGTAACATACCAACAATAAGAGACAAATGAGAAATAAATCTGGCAAAATGGTTCTCTCCTCAACGTCCCCCTCGAGTCTATAATAAATGTGTACAAAAAATGGAACGGAGCGATGTGATATACATATGTGAAATGATCTTCTTCTCCTCCGTCACACTCTCTCTGGCAAGCGGCAAATCAAAAACAGAAGCGAGGCGACGCAGCCAATAAAAAGTGCGTGTTCACAGCGGCGAAATTAAAATTATTTCTCAACGCACACAACAACGTCGGAATTACTTGTCGCAAAAGTGAAGAAAAAAAAAAAAAAAACCACAACGATTTTTTTTTCTTTTTTTATTGTCGAGCTTTCGTCTCGTCGAAAGAAGTCGCTCTCTTTTAGCTGATTGACACGATCGCGACGGATTGTTGGCACAGACACCTGGTACTTTCATCAGCAAACATTTAAACTCGCGATATGCCGAGCAGGTTTGATTGTGCCCCGCTTCCTTCGCTGCGTATTTCAAACATCCGTACTTTGATCATCGATCGGTTTTTGATTGAGAAACGTCAAACACACACACGCTTTTTGATTCGCTTAAAGCACACGATCCCGTCTGTCTTTTGATTAATAACAAAGTCGTCCGTCGCTCGTCCCTATCTCGCGTTCCTGTTTCAGCTATCATCGACGTGCTCTTCTTTCTCACCGTTCTCTCTCCCTAATCTAAAAACCTCCAAGCCGAGCCTCTTGTCTCTTTGTCTCTTCCCTCTTTCTTTCTTTCTTTCTTTTTTTTTTTTTTTTTTTTTTTTTTTTTTAAGGAACGTAAAAGTAGAGTGTGTGCCGGTTATTATTCCAATTAATTTATATGTACCCCCTCCCCCCGTTTGCTGGTTNGTGCTCTTCTTTCTCACCGTTCTCTCTCCCTAATCTAAAAACCTCCAAGCCGAGCCTCTTGTCTCTTTGTCTCTTCCCTCTTTCTTTCTTTCTTTTTTTTTTTTTTTTTTTTTTTTTTTTTTTTTGTTTCTTGTCCTCTCTGTCTGTTCGCGTGGGCAAAATTATGGGTTTGTGCGCGGTGTCATACACAGGGAGGGAGGCCTCGTTTCCAAAGAGATGTCACAATCGTCGCGCCTTTCAAAGGTTCGATAGGCCTCCAAACAGCGTGTCTCTTCGTCCCGAAACGAGAACAATATCGAGGACTCGAATTTCCAACTTCCCGAAATCTCTCTGAAACGATTTTTGCACAGCTCGCTCGGTTAGATTGCTCATTGCAAACGTTATACACGAATGTTCCAAAAGAAAAAAAAACAAAAAAAAAAAAACAAAAAGAAAACTTGTTCTTTGAAATATTTCTACGATTGAATTGACTTCGTTAGTTCCCGTGCAAAATTTACCTCCGTTGCTCCGACGTGAACGCGGTCCGCGGGGAAAAAGCAGGGACAAGATATTATCGGCACGACAAGCATGAGTTGCGGTACTTAAAACCGACGGGGCGAGAACGGGCGGTGTAATATATATATATATATATATAATACATATATATAATCTATATATATATATATATATATATATATATAGGTACGACGAGCAAGAAACAGGACGATGAAGATACAAAAGATGGAGCGCGGAGATAACGGAGACGGGTTTGCAATAAGTTTTTCACCCGCTCTTCCCATCTTTTCAAGTATTGAAACTGCTCGTGCTATCGCCTCGTCGTTTCCCACCTCTTCTCGATCCCTCTTTCAGCGAGCGGATAGTTTTTAATGGCGAAGGAGCACGTCGATGAGATGAGATTGCGCATGGGATGTCGTAAACGGCTGCCACGCGGACAAGGCACGCGTGGACACAAAAAAAAAACTTAACTCGTTTCTCTCTATATATATATGTATATATATATATATATGTTTATATTTATATATATATGTATATACATATATATATATATATAAAATCTAACTTTCGTGCTGTTTGTGCAATGTGTCTATCTACGAATTATTTATAATTAACCTCCTCTCTTCCTCTTTACTTGTGCTGTGCGATTTTGCTCGTCGCTCGTCCGTCTTTACTCTCACGCGCTTCCCTTTCTCTCCCTCCCATTCTTTCCTCTTTTCGCTTTCACACATTTTCTTTCCCTCCCCCTCTGACGCTCTCTCCCCACATGTATACGATTGCACTCTCATGCAATTGCTTCACACGAGTTTCTTTCTCTGTCTCTTTTTCTTTCTCTCGCCTTCGTTTTCGTTTTTTCTTTCTTCCTTCCTTTCTTTCTTCTTTCCGTCTTTCTTTCTTTGTATCGATTTGGCCAAGTCGAAATTCGGGACATCGGGGACGCTGCGTTACCGTCGCTTCTCGGATTAATTAAAATACACGCATCGTCTCTCCCTCTAGCTCCTACGTAGCTATGTTGCTCGTTTTTTTTTTTTTTTTTTTAGTATTATAGTATCTGTGTGTGTATGTGTGGGTTTGTTTCTTTCGTTGTCGGGAATTCGTGTGTTTCTCGTTCACGCAATCGAGATTTGAGAGACGGAGGGATCAAGTTTAATTTGCATTCTTCCTTCCCCTAAGCCTTAACGTTTTATTGCTTAAACGTTTCGCATGTGTTTAGTCTCGACTTTCCCCTTGATTCTACGTACGTCATCTTATATAAAAATCTAACGTTTATGTTTTTTTTTTAAAAACCGCGGCGATCCGACGCGTTTTTCTTCGCGCACGCGCGCGTGTGTGTGTGTGTGTGTGTGCGTGTGTTTCATCTTTTTTTTTTTTCCCGGAGAGAATGGAATGTGTTTGTCGTCGCCCCCTCCCCCCCCCTCGTCCGATCGTTTTTATAAAAGTATCCAACTAACAAGCGCCACGCGTCCGAGAGAGACGGACCTCTGGCGTAGATAAAAGCGCAAGAGCTGCAAAGTTTCAACACGCGTTAATTACAATTGTATTTAACTACGAACCCGACAAGTGAGAATTGTATTTTTTTTTCTTTTTTTTTTTTCCATCTTTTCTATCCGAGACGTTACGTACGAAGTGGCAAATGTGGGGTGTGCAAAACACGTGGATCTGAGTTTCCGTGGGGGTTATTTTTTTTTTTTCTTTGTTTCTTTCTCCCGAGACGGGGAGCGGCGAGTTGTTGCCCGATTTGTTTGTTGCCGCACACGCCCTCGCCCCGTCCCCGTAAAAACGCTGTTTTTTTTCGCGCGATTATACACAAGAAGAAGAATCCGTCGTCGTCACCTCGTTGCCGCCAAATTTCGAATCGGCCTCGAGCAACTTTGAATATAATACGCCTATCTAACTAGCTAGTTGTTTAATTTCGTTTATAATAACCTTTAGTTTTTTATGTATATATATATTTTTCTTTTATATATATATATATATATATATATATTTATATATCTTCACGAGTGCGCTTCGAATTAATCGATCTTTTTGTTTATTTATCATTTATACACTTGTACGGCCGCATGCTGGCCGCCGCATTCGGCCGCGCGCGTCCCCGTTCGACGTTTCGTTTTACATTTTTCACGTCTTTTGAGTAATTATTTTCGCTGTTAAAGCCCAAACTACAAAAATAACGAATCCGGGTAACGAGTCAGTATCCGGCGGTCAGTAGCTCGACGCTCGTCGTTTTGTTTTGTTTTTTGTTTTTTTGTTTCTCTTTCGCAGGATCAAGGAGTGGTTGTTTCAGTATTATGCGCATTGTTTTTTTATTTTGTTTTTTTTTTTTTTTTTTTAACGGTGATTAAAAACCGGGTATCACGATCTCATTTAACGTACGTGCGGACTCGTGTGTGTTCTCCATGTACTGTTGGACGATATACATAATTACATATATATATGCGTACAATTGGCCAGTTTCACTAAAGAAAAAAAAAAAAAGAAATAGGAAAAACCACTGTCACCACGAATGGCGTGTTCGCGTGTGTTTGCCGGATTTCGTTTGTGTGTACATGTACGTGTGCGTGTGTGTGTGTGTATTTTTTTTTTTTTTTTTTTATCTCTTGTATCGAAGCTTTTTTTTCGGACACTACTACTGTAAACGGCAAACGCTATCTATTTCTTGAAGCCGAGCGAGATGCTAGATTTATTCTACAGACTGGACGAGAGATATATCCGCTTAATAATCGGTAGCGGCTCTTGTTCTCTTAACACTGGACGTGAAAACTTACGGGGAGATATCCGGGATATTGGATGCAATTTTTTTTCTCTCTGCGCGCAAGAGGTTTGCCTAGGGGGTGGTGGGGGAGGGGAGGTTATGATTCTTCTTATTCGCTATTTCCTTTCCTTTCTCACTTGTTTTTTTTTACTGCTCCGTCGTTTTATTTATTTATTTATTTATTTATTTGTTTTTGCTAAGCGAGTGTTATCTGGTTCTCGTGGTTGCCGGCTTTCGACTCGCGCGTCGTCAAGCCGGAAGTGGCATGGGTTTTACTGCTTTTGCTGTCGCGGTGGCATCGATGATGACGGAAATGTTGTTGTTGGTGATGGTAGTGATGGTGGTAGTAGTAGTAGTGGAGGAGGAAGTGATGGTGGTGATGGTGGTGGTAACTGTTGTTGCTGAAGTAGAAGTTGTTCCTGTTGGTGGGGTGTACTTGCTTACCATCACACTAGAAGGCTAGGCGTCAGCCAGTCCTCATCCGCTAGCTGGACCGCAACCAAGAACACACTTTACCATTTGAACACACAAACGCTGGTTAAGTCTTGGTCCGAATTTCAAGAAAGTAATAGAAATATGCTCTCGACAATAGTATCCTCTCTCTCCCTCTCTTTCACTCTCGCGTTCGTCTCTCTCTCTCTCTCTCTCACCCGCGCGCTCTCTCATTCGTTCTCCCTCTCGCTTCCCGCATCATTCCTCACTCTTGCTTTCCGCCGTTTGCACACACACATACAAATTTCTCAGACTCTCCTACTACATAGATTCTAATCGATCTGAATCTACCTTCACCGTGACTCAACCTCCACCACATGGTGCACTAGTAGGACGCAAAAAAAAAAAAGAAAAACAAAACGAAAATAAAATACAATAAAACTGCAGAGTAATCGTGTAAATATAATGGTTAGTCTACAATAACTGCTTGTGCATCACGATTTTCAGAAACGCATTAACGATAGCGCGCGAGGCAAACGCAAGATTTATTTACGTTTAACGAGTTTTCCTGACCCTAATAATAATCGAAGTGCGCATTTCTTTGTCTCTCGCCTCTCGTCTTAAAAAACAAAAAAAAACAAAAAAAACAAATCGAGAGAGTTGAGATATCCGCGAGAAAGATCTTCGATCAAACATAATGAATAACATCCACTTTTTCTCTCGTCTCTTACATGATACCTTCCGTTTCCCCTTTTGTGCCGTAGAAAATACTATTCCTTTGCGCGCGATTACACGCCGCCAGTATTTTCAGGCTGAATGCGAGGTTGAGCCAGGTTGTAGATGCAGTTATCCCGATGCTAATTGTTATTCGAAAGAAAGGATAAGCCAGGCCGTGCGATGATAGTGGTAGCGATCACTGTGCCTGCGAATCGAAATATGTAAATAAAGACAGTCCTTTTGACAATCTCGAGCATCCCCTTTTTTTTCTTTCTACGAGAAAACAGAAAAACGCATCGATGCCGATGTGTCGCGAATAAAAAAAAAAAAAAAAAAAAAAAATTACACGTGTGATCTCAAATATTAAAAAAAAAAATTTCCAAGTACACGCAAATTAATAAATTAAGAAAAAAAATTCAGTTCACATTCCCAAAGTCAAATCGAAGAAACTTTGAAGTAGTCGTCGACTACTTTCGGATTGTTCCGTTTGTCTCGACCGTAGTCGCTAAGAAAAAAAAAACAAACAAACAAACAAACAAACAATGTCCGATGTAACACACATCAAAGAATTGTGGTGCAATTGCGAAATATGAATGTTATTCTCTAAACAAAAGGAGTGGAGAAAGAGATACTCCGGAGAGATGCTCGAGTTCAATTAGATAAAGTGCGAGAAGCGTAAACGCATGCACGGATATGTCTACATGTTTCTCATACTCTCTCTACGTTTCATGCAAGTTTGAAAAAAGACTCTAAGTCGAGCGAAAAACGATCATCAACTTGTTCATCATCATATCCGCATGTTGTGTGCTTGTGATAGGGCGCAAAGTGCGATGTACGATGTATCGATATATAGTTTTCAAAAAGCTTTTTCGAATTTTGATTTTGAAACGGCCGCGCGCGCGCGCGCGCGTTCTCTTCCCCACGGTCTGCCATTAATTGTGTCTTCTATTTAATTAAGTATCGTCGTATCGCGCGCGGAAATACACATAAGCGCGATCGGATTTACATTAACGTTTAATAAACGAAGAACAAATTTACATGGGAAATACTTCGTCAACTTGTGTTCGCGAGACGCGAACTCGCGACTTCAAAATTGCGCGCGAGAGCAACCTTCTCTACTAACGTAAATTTGTTCTCCCCCAGATCCCCATTATGATCAAACGCGCAACTACTTCTCTCGGCACAGCGTACTTTCTGCGTGTGTGTGTGTGTGTGTGCATGTGTGCGTGTGTATGTGTGTGTCGCGGCAAAGAAGATATTAGCAAAATAAACGGCAAACCGACTCCTCCGGAATTTATCTCGTCGTAGTAGTCGTCGTGGTACTCGGTGATACATTTCTCAACGTTTTCGTTTTCTCCTTCGTTTGTTTTATCGCCGCTATTACTTAGAATACGCCGTTTCAATCGGAGGATGATTCCGATGGCCAGTTTTCCAAGGAGCAAGTTTCAAAGTGGTATTTCGCTTGACATGCAGTGATATAATGCGAACTCGGAAGGGAGAGAGGGATTGGGGAAGGGAGGAGTTTTTCGTTCGTACGCGGATATTTGTGTGCGGAAAAGCAGCGCGAGCTAACTTTTGTTCAACGAAATATCTCTTTCGATAGACGATAGCAATCGTACGTGACTTTTGCTCTCTCCGCTCTATGGTGTGCGATATGTACAAAAGACTCGGGCTAAAGCAACTGTGGAGAGGCGGCAACGTGAAATGTGTGCACCGTATATATGTATGTATGTATGTACACACACACACACACATATATATATATCTATATCTTTTTAAAGCGCGGAATGACAGGCTGTTTTACGCACTGCAAACAGCTGCAGATTAATGACCGAAAAGCCCGAAATCGATACGGCGTTTGCGGTTCGTTACGCAATCTTTGAAATATGACGCCGCTGATAAAGCGGTCCGTCTAACAAATTTCTTGCAATTTGCGATTTTGTGTTTCTCCCGGTTTTAAATTTATTTTCTCCGAACCGAGGAAATCGAAATAAAAGATCGCGAAACGTTCGCGAAATATTTAATGGGTTTTCGACGTCAATCGTGCAACAAAAATTCACACGCGACTCGATGGCTCGTATTGAATCGGTCCTTGAATTTCTTACAAATTTTTTGAATTTGTTAGTTTTTCGCGAATTTATTCATCAAGAAAGATCAAAATAAAGAGATCGAAACGTTTGACAATATTTCGAGTGATTTTCTTTGTACCAGCGAAAATTTACATCCCCGTGCCGCATCGCGGTTCTTGAATTATCATCGCAAATCTCTCTCACACGTTTTTTATCGTTTCGATTGTGTGAAATTGTAAAACAAATATTGAAATAAACACGAATATTTATCTCGAAGTAATTGCTCGTCTTTTTTTTTTCTGTGTTAATATATTTAAGAAGTTCTTCTGCAAAGCGGCGCGCACGGACTAAAGGCAACGGCAGCGAATGAATAAAATTGATGAGCAAATCGGATTTTAAATTAGACACTTGCTCGATAATTCACTTCTACGTACTTCCAGTTTAATGTCTGCAACTTCTTCTCCCGATCAGAAGAGAAACTTTATTCTTTTATTCACAATATCTGTGTGTTTCTCCCTTGAAGAGGGATATTTCCTCGACGAGTAACTTGGATCTCCGACTTTACTCCTCAATTTCAGAAATGTGTATATGTTTTCCGGCGCGAGTAAAATAAACGACAAATCTCGATCGAACAACAACTGTTTAGTTCAAATTCTTAGAAGAAAGATGTTGCGGCGGAAAAAATGAAAAAAAAGTGAGATAGCACGATTTGTTCTAATAATAAAGAATCGTAATAATAAGCATGGGAAAAAGTTGCAAAATAAGTTGAAATTGTAAAATCATATTTCCGCAAACTTTTTCCATTTACTCCCGGGGACCCGGGGTGGACGGGAAGAGAAACACAAGAAAAAACAGCGGAGTTAATTTGAAAATTTCAAACTCTAGAGTTTTTAGCTTTTAAATTAAGATGGTCGTTTCTCTCGATTCTGAAACCTCAGGTTGTCAAGTTCAGAAATTGTTCTTGAAGCAAAAACAAAAACAAAAAAAACAAAAAAAAAAAAAAAACAAAAAAAAANAAAAAAAAAAAAAAACAAAAAAAAAGAAAAGAAAAACACACGGGGCATTAAAAGCGGGTGCCGAGTTTGAAATGCATTTTTCGCTGCGCTTGCCCGAAGCCATCCCTGATCTCCTTTCAAATATATTCTAGATATTTTTTTGTGACCGTGTGTGTCGTTTTTAGAGAGAGAGCGTGTGTGCAAAACGCGCGCGCAGCCCAACCTTCTTAAATGTGCAGTCCGTGCGGAAAAGCGAAACGGTCGAGAGAGGTAGACTTTTCTGTACACAAAACTACAGATAAGTATCATATTTCACCTCACTGCCATGAGAGAGAGCCACAACTTTTTTACAATATATTCTAAATCTCGACGCAAAATCTGTCTTCTATAACCTCTCGTCGAGCGGGAAAGCGAGTCTGTCTTGCTCCATCAGTGTCTGGCGTAAAAAAACAAATAAAAAACGTTCTCTTCTAATATGTGGCGTACGAGAATTGTCTCTAATTAATTTATCCAAATATAAGATTTTAAACTAACATCAGAGAAAAGCGTAAATGAGAACACATGAGTCTGCGTAAAAAAAAAAGAAAAAAAAAAAACGTTTCACATCTTGTAATTGCGACCAAATGTGATTCGTCAGTGTCAACACCAAACATTTACCACACAAATCTCTCAATGTGTATTTTTCTAACTCGAATTACTAGCTTGCTTTCTCTCTATTAGAATCTCTCGAAATTCGGTACAAGATAGAATACTAGAATCTGTCTATTTCACGCCGGTTAGTCTGAATCTCTTACTGACATGCTTTGCCAAAACAATAAACGCGCAATCGCCGAAAGTGCGACTGCTGTCGAACACTTTGTGTGAGTGACGAACATAAAAAAAAAAACAACAAAAAAACAAAAAAAAAAACCAAATGCAAATTTCGCAATTAACCAACGAGTATTGTACGCAACGGAGATGGGTATGATTTTATTGGACGTATCAAACGTAAGAGAAAATTATTTATCACGTTGTTGATACGCTATATAGCTTTGAATAATACACGTGTATACATCGCGCGTTTAACAATAATTTATTTTTACCCAGCTCCGTTCGTACGTAACATTATTAATACACAAACACAAAATGCCCCTTCAATAATAAATCACGATTTTCATTCATACGCAGCACTATTTCTCGCAAATAATTTAAAGTGATTTTTCATTTCGTTTAATAGCAAAACGAATAATATAATTTTGCGAATTAAATGCGGGATAAATTGAAGATCGATCGAAAACGATTGTTCTCGCGACTAACGGGCATTGAAAGCAATTCGTTGTTAATCGCGGAAAGGTGAAAGAAAAAAAAAAAAAAAATTAAAAATTAAAAACAATAGCAACAAAAAAGAAATAAAATTTTCGTTTCGCGATGCTTATGAAAATGCAAACGTTTTTATTTGAATATACATTACGTATCTCGTAAAATAGTGCCGGCATAAATTGCCAAAATTAGCATATCACCGTTGCTCTTGTAACCTCGCAATAATCGTTAACTCAAGTCGGGAATATTAGAGAGACCGAAATAAACCGCGTGCGCAGCTAATTATATCATGCGTGTTACTGCATCCGTGTTTACCGTGTTTTACCGAAAATTGTTTCATGTTGAAGCGCACCGCGTGTTCTATCGCGCACCGGTTTTCGAAATGATATACAGTATCAAGTTTACGAGGTTCCCTAAGATCACCGACAATATACATGTACAACACATACATATATATATATATATATATGTATGTATATATATATATATATACATATGTATATGCTGCGCGAACTCTTCTGCCGACACATGCTTTCGATATCCTTTTGATATCGAATCGAGTTTCCACGTGCAACATTTACAAGCCAATATCGGCACCGACGAAATTGCCTTTGGACGTACAGGGGCGCAAGATGCAGAGGTATGTAAAAAAGCAAAAAATAACACTTCTACGAGAACGAAACGTCGCACAAACACGTAGGGCACACACTTGCACGCGAGAGTACACAGGTGAGATAGATAAAGTAATGGTTACCTGGAACTGTTGCATCGGGTAGGCCATCATTTGTGCCGGTGGCGGTGGTGGCGGGGGTGCGGCTTGCACCCCTGGGGGTGCCGTGACCGTTGTGGCGTGGTGTGGCGGTAACTGTGGTCCCCCTGGTAATCCCTGACCCCATCCTGCCGCTGTGCCAGCAGCGTGGACAGCACCCATGCCCATTCTACGTTCGCAAAGAAATGACACAAGTGTCACAGCCGTGGCAAATTTGACCACTTCTAAACTAAGTTTATTGTATTGACAAATAAACTAACCGTCGTAATTTTGCGAAGACTTGTTGGAAATCTATTACTTATCTCGTAGTTGTAGTTGCGCGAGTTAATACAAATTTTGTTGTAATGTATTAAAAAAAAAAAACAAAAAAAAAAAAACAAACGCTACAGAAGTCGATTAAACATTCGCGAGCTGTTTTATTTGTCGCATATGGGAGATATCGCGAAAAAGATGAGGGAGAGATGATACATTCATAGCCGACACGACTTGTTCGATTATTCAAAACTTGGTCGTGGAAAACTTCGCTCTCGGGGAAGGGAAATGTATCGCGCGCGCGCGCGCGTGTCTCTGAGAAGCTCACCCCATATATTGTGCCTGTTGATATCCGGCGAACTGTCCATAGGTGTATCCCTGCATGCCTTGTAGAAAGCCACCAGCTTGCATTTGTGTCGCTGTCGTGGGATAAGATTGGGGCGGATACCAGTATCCCAGTTGTCCGGCACCGCCGACGCCACCGACGCCTCCGACACCCGCGACGCCCGCCGCCGCCGCGGCGGCAGCTGCCGCCGCCGCGTAGTATGGGTACGTCGCCGACGATAACGCCTGAAAGAGCACGAGGATCAATGAAATAGAAAAGAGCAAGAACATTGTCTGGATTTTATGCTTAACGATGCCGATCGAGCATCGGTCAGAAAACGGTAATTCCGTTTTCGTTCACAGAATTTGTGGGGCTCGTTCGGGTAGTTTTAAATTGAACCAAGCGTGTCTTCGAGCGCGATTGTTCCGTTCCTCCAAATAAGACAAGTGTACCGTGATGATCAAACATTTGTTCAAACGAATAATTACTGAATGTCGTATTGAACGAAAAACAAAATTTTCAACGTCTCTCGCGTATTTCTCAAGATGTGCTTTTAAACATTGGTTTTTTTAAACAAGTATGACTTTTTAAGGCCCGTTGAATTTCATAACAAGAAATATATGAGGCCTTACGAGCCATTTGTAAGATGTTTCTAACAGAAACTGTACGTGTATATAACACGCACATGTAACAATTTTCAACTTGTAAATTTTTACAAGTGAGTGTTTTTTGAGTTGAAAACTCTAATCTTAAATTCATATGGGATGCTGGATTTGCATCTCACATATGACAGACCCCGGATACCCCCTAACTAATTTTTAAAAATTCCGAATTTCTGTTAGAAACATCTTACAAATGGCTCGTAAGGCCTCATATATTTCTTGTTATTAGTTTGTTTCTTCAATTAATTTATTTCTTCGATATAAATGTCAACTCGCCTCGCGCGCGGCTAAATAATATTTTCTACACACAATCGATTCTCTCTCTCGCGCGCGAGTGTCCTTCGCGCAACAAAAAAAAAAAACCCGAGATTCGAATAAAAGCGACAACGGAGTAAAAAAGAATAAACATTGAAATCTCACGCAGAAAAGCTCTTCAGACCGTACATCAGCTTACTGTTCTTTTGGGATTTCTTTTTTTTTTTTCTTGTTGCACGAAGAATAACATCGTTCGAATAAACAAGACGAGAAAACACGCGCGTGGACTTGGGATTTTGGGAAGTTAATCGACGGAGTTTTTGGCGAAAATAATGCGCGGCCATTGTGTGCGCTCTCTTCGTTAAAGCGGCACGATGAAGCGGCGGCACCCCTCTCCCTCCGGATGGGGGTGAGATATCACGCGAACCAGTTCGATGCCGTTGAATATGAGAACAGAGTATGGCAGGATATACGTACTAATACGTGATATCTCGGCTCCCCTGGGAGCGAGGCGCGTTATGGGAATAGAGATCAATTAGAGCGATGTCACGGGCCGAGTAGCACTGGATGGATGCACGGAAGTACTAGCGGGAAGTGTGCGCGCGCGCGAGCGAGCGAGCGAGAGAGAGAGAGAGAGAGAGAGAGAGGGTTTGGGAAGTACTTCGGGTACCATTCCCAGATCGGGCGTACGTACCGTTCTAACGGAGCTAATTGCTAAGAGACCCGTCCAGACACACTCCGAGTGAGATCTATATGTTGAGCTAAATCTTCCTCCCCTCCTCCCCCAACTCACCCAATGCAAATCACGTTCGCTTCCTCCGTGAAATTTCACTTTTCTTATTTTCTCTTTAATTTAACACCAACTCTCTCTCTCTCTCTGTCTCGAGTCTGATATTGTGAGAAAAACACAAAACCGATTTTCTGAACGAACACACGCGCTTCTTCGTTCGAAGAGACTAGGAAAACTGAAGGAAAATCGTCCGAAGTTGACGCGCTCGCTTCCAAACGACGACTGTGACTACACAAGACAAATTTTCGCCCTTCGAATCGCGCGGCTCGAAAACAAAGAAAAACATTCACAACAAAACATGCGCTCGGAGCGCATTCCGCGCTCTAACTTGCTGTCTTTGTTGCGAAAGTTAATACTCTTGTTTGTTTCACTCTTTTTTTTTTTTTGCTACTATCGTCACGATCAGATAATATATACCGAGATAATAGACACAAGTTCGGGTCTCAACACACACATCCAAGTGACAGACCGGAATCTTGTGCTCGCGATTTCCCGTCCTCTCTTTCTCCCTTAGTTTTCGTCCTTTTGTCGGACTTTCCTCCGTGCCACGTAACGGGCGCGGGGACACTTTAGCCGCGCGAGACCGGAAGGAAACCGGCCGTGATCGAATCGGGTAACTACTTCCTTCTTTGAACGCGCTCTCTCGTCCCCTTTGAGACGTGAACGTTTCACTATTCACAGTCTCACTGACACACACGTATAACAACAAGCTCAACACGCGCGCGCGCGCGCGCGCGCGGCGAAGAACTCGCCGCTACACTTGTCGCTTTGACGTGTGTTGAACGTGTCAGGGATTAAATTTTGAAGTGAAGCACTCGCTTATTTTTGTTTCAATGATTCTGCACTTTTCAAGAAGATGTATACACACACGTGAGAATGTTTGTGTGATTATGCATTCAGTGTGTTACACACGGGATCAGCGTGTTTTGCTCTTCAAGGTATTATATCTTGAGGGAGGGAAGAAGAGAGGAATCGGGGCAACAATGTTTATTCGTGAAATAAGGTAGAAAAGCTCTTTTTCTCTCGCTCTCACTCTCTCTCTCTCTCTCTCTCTCTCTCTCTTTTCGCGTTTGTGATACGAGCAACGATGTAAATGTTGGAAAACACAGAGGGCGGAATTTTCCCGTCGAAACTGTCCCGCTGGTAGAGCGGATAAAAGAAGAGAAAGGACAGAAGAGAGCGTTTACCTGTCCAGTTTGTTGAGCATTATTAGGGTCTCCACTCTCCTTGCCCCAACTGCACTTCACTGTTTGGCCGTTGATGTCTGTGTTGTGTACCGCCACGATGGCGTGCGTGGCCGACTCCTTGGTGGAAAACCTGGAAATCGCAGGAAAAGAGGATTTAAAGTCTTTTGTCGGGAACGTGTGTCTCCTCTCTCTCTCTCTCTCTCTCTCTCTCTCTCTCTCTCTCTCTCTCCCGGAAGAATCGTCGCGCGCTTTTTCCGCGGGGTGTGGGAAGAAAAAAACCCAAAAATCTCTCTACCGGAAGCAACGCGCGATGTTCTTATCCTTCCGTTCCGGGTTAAAACCTGGACGGACCTTATTAAGGGCGTCGGCTCAAACGAAAACGGCGCGGTTAATTTATGCGAGTTTACCGCGCGCACGAACGGGCACCGTAATTGTGAATCTCGACGTGGCGGAGTCCGGATTGCCGCAGAGATGTGGGCATTCAATGTTAAATTCCACACGCGCCAGTTACGCAGGTAACTCTCCAGTTCGCCAGAACGGCGTTAACTTTGAATAAACACACACGCGCGCGCTCGCTAGCTACGTTGCCGCCGTTGGCAGAATAGACGACTACGACGAGGACGACGCGGGTGGATTATTTCCCTCTTGCCCTTTTGTCAACCACGTGAATGTAGACCAAGAGCCGAGTGAAAGAGAGAATATATATATACTATACATACATATATATATATACATATATATATATATCTCCGAGTATCTGAATTTTATCCGACGGTGTCTACATCAAAATATTTTTAATGCCGCTTCGAGACGTTTGCGCAGCTTGTGTTGTATGAATATTTAAACGCGCGGATGCTGCAATTCTTCTTCTTCTTCTTCTTCTTCTTCTTCTTCTTCAATTATTCAAATATTTCGGATCCGTCACCTAGCGGTAAAATTCGATCGACTTCGCCGTCGTCCCGAGACGATTTTTCGACGAGAATCTTGATCAGAGCGCGAGAAAGAATTTTTGGCGCGAGTGGCAGGGAATTATTGAATTTATCGAGGATTAGGTCACTTTTAACGTTCGGGAGCTCGAGATCGCACAATGGCGATTCTCTCTACGAGAGTTTCTCCGCGCGCGCTCCTCCTTCTTCTTCCTCTCCCTCTCCCCTCCCTCATCCTCTCCGTCCCGGTCTTTCCATCCATCGAGCTCCCATCCACGATCGTTGAGTAGGACGAACGATGGTCATCGTCAGCAACCCCTTCTCCGGGATCCGTACCTCGGAGCGATAACCAGCGGCAGATAAGATTCTTTCTTTCACCCGAGAAGAAAAGACCTCCCACCACCCCTTCCCCATCTATTCCGTTCGTCTTGCTGCCTCGTTCTGTACCAGCAAGTCCATACGTCATCCCGAGATATTCGTTTCCGGGGTTCCGGCGCGACGGGGGGGGGGAGAGGAAGAGCAATTAGACGGAAGATATCTGAACGACGGACATTGTCCAGGGGTGGCGGAACTGCGGCAGACACACACGAAGCGGCGGAGAGTATCGTATCGGATAAGAACGGACAAGGATATCGAGCAACGTGCGCGAGAAAGGACGAGGGAAAGGAGAGAACAAGAGAGAGATCGAGAGAGAGAGAGAGAGAGAGAGAGAGAAGAGGAGGTAAGAAAGAGTTTTTTGTGTCTCCTCCTTCCGTCTCTCCCTCTATTTTCCTCTCTAGCTTCCTCCGCTTCTTCCTCTCTCTCTCTCTCTCTCTCTCTTCCTCTCTCTTATCGTTCGTTCTCTAGAGCAACCCTCCCACGCTCTCGGCAGTCTTTTCTAAGGTAGGTCACGGATCCCTATAGTCCGTCGTTAAGGTGAAGCGCTGAATTCGCTTTCGGGAGATATAAATGCTCAGCTGATTTCTTGAGCTGTTAGGTTTCCCCCTTTTTCTGTAAGCTTGGAGAGATATCGACATGACTACGGTGTTTTCCGCGCGGCAAGATTTATAATTTGCTTTTTTCGCTCGCTCCTGTAAAGAAGAGGAGTGTAGACGCGGCGTTTTCGCGTTTCGCGATGAAAAAGAATTTATCTCTCTCTCTCTCTCTCTCACACACACACACACACACACACACACACACACACACACACAC